TGGCTGCTAATTACCGTCTGTAACACCAATTCCAGGGGATCCGATACCCTCTTCTGGCCTCTGGGGGCACTGCATGCACGTGTGCAAGAAAAACAGACGTAAAAATAAATTTTAAGGCCTGGAGAGATGGCTCAGCGGTTAAGAACACTGGTTGTTCTTGCAGAAGACCTGGGTTCGAATCCCAGCACCCACATGGCACCTAACAACTGTCTGTAACTCCAATCCCAGGGGATCCGACAGCCTTTCCTGACCTCCGCGGGCATTGCACGACACAGGTGCACTTACCTACATGCAGGCAATATACAAATACACATAAAAGTAAAATAATATGCCGGGCGTGGTGGCGCACGCCTTTAATCCCAGCACTCAGGAGGCAGAGGCAGGCGGTTCTCTGTGAGTTCAAGGCCAGGATCTCTGTGAGATTGAGGTCAGCCTGGTCTACATAGTGAGTTCCAGGCCAGCTGAATAAATAAATAAATAAATAAATAAATAAATAAATAAATAAAAATTAAAAACAATTAAAAAATATAACAAGTTAAATCGGGAGTGGTGGCGCACGCCTTTAATCCCAGCACTTGGAAGGTAGAAGCAGGTGGATCTCTGTGAGTTCAATGCAGCCTGGTCTACATAGTGAGTTACAGGCCAGCGGCTACAGGGAGACCCTGTCTCAAAAAGACCAAATATATACATATATATTATATGTATATATATTGCCAATATATATATTGCCAAACGTGGCGGTAAACGCCTTTAACCCCAGCATTCGGGAAGCAGAGGCAGGCGGATCTCTATGAATTCTAGGCCAGCGTAGGCTACATAGTGAGTTCCAGCCCAGCCTGGGCATCCCAGGGAGGCCTTGTCTCAGTAAGCTAAAAAAGGAAAAAAAACTAATAAACATAACCAGGACCCAAGGCGTTCATCCCCCAGTGCACTGACGCTGAGTACGTAATGGATAGTTTCAGGGGCCAGCGCGATGGGCAGGAGCGAACCTCCCCTCTCCGGTGGCGCCCAACTGTTCTGAGCCCCTGCGTGGCACAATCCACGCCTGAGCACTCTAGACCAACGCCGGCAGGACCTGCGCCAGTGCTGAACATACTAGTCAGAACTACAGCCGAGGCCGCGGCGCCCTCTCGTGTCCGCAGCGAGCAGCGCTCACCAGTCTTAAGTCCTTTGTGGTGCAGGGGTTCGCTGCGCAGGTGAAGAGATGGGGGTATTGCCCCAGGGTCCCCAAAGTCCTTTGCAAAGCCCCCAGAGTTAAAAGAAGGTCCTGGGAGCCGGCTGAACCACGGGTCCACCTGAACGCAGGTTAGCAGCGCACACCTGAAACACAAATGCACAGATGTTGTGAGTGATGCGTATGGGGGAGGCATCTGCAGGTCACGCGTGTGCACGCTGTGCTGGGGGACACGCGTGGCCGTGTTACAGGCTCAGCCCGGCCCACGGGAGCTGCTGGTAGTAAGATGAATAAGTCGATGCTGATTGAATGAATGAATGAATCAATGAATATGGGGATTCGCAAAACCAGGAACTGGAAGGGCTCAGAATGACAACATAGACCCGCGGCCCAGCAAGCGCTAGGATTGCAGGGACCCCCTTGTTTCCCTTTCTGGGGGACAGATTCTGCCTGGGTTGCTCCTGGCTGACAAGGGCTGTGGTCCAGGGCTCCCTGGGGTGCGGGTCCCCACCCCCAAGATAAGATGGGAGGCAAGGCGTGCTGTTTGCTGTGCCTCCTTTTAATAACCTTCTTGCGTGAGTGGCTGACGCAGCAGGCGGCTCTGACGGGGATAGAACTGCTGGGGGGGGGGGGCAGGCGCAGAGGGGGTGGTCATGAGTCACCAGCTGCTGCCTGGGGGGAGGGGAGCCCTGAGATCTTGGCCATCTTGTCCTTGCAGACAGCTGGGTCAGACCGACCTGGTTAGAGTATGAGTCCCAGGTTTGGAGCAGAGGTGGGGGGTGTCTCAGCCCTCAATGCCAGCCAGTTGAGCCTCCCTTCAAAGGGGAGGGCTGAAGTGTGAGTGTCCCATCAAAGCAAGTCTGCACAAGCTGCTCGCTCCACCGTTGAAGTCGTGAGGAAGGCCATACCACCCTCTCCACCCTCCACCCCCCCA